GTAGTAACATTGTGGTATCGCGCACCGGACGTTCTTATGGGATCAAGACAATACTCTACATCCATTGACGTGTGGTCAGCCGGATGTATATTTGCAGGTTCTATAGAATAATCATTTCATTTTCGGGCAGGACTTTATGAATATATAATAACTTGATTATTTTTATTTTTATTTTACAAGAAATGGCATCTGGAAGGCCTTTGTTTCCGGGAAGCTCAATCAAAGATCAGCTTCTGAGGATATTTAAATATCCTTTTTATATCGGTAGAAAGTACTCATTGTAATTATTCTAAAATTGATGTTTATTATTTCCTTGACTACGTCTGAACAGTTCTAGGTACCCCAACCGAGGAAACATGGCCTGGAGTTTCAACACTACCAGATTACAAAGTAAGAGAATAATTAACATTTACACATTGCATGTTAAGTATTTACGTTTCCCTTCCGAAATAGTTGCAGAATGATTTCGCGACTTATTCGAAAATTCCCCTGGAGACAATCCTTCCAAAACTTGATGTTCATGGCATTGACTTATTAAGTGTAAGTTAATAATATTTATCTATTAGTGAAAATAATAAGTGATGAGATTTTTGCTGATTTATAATTTCTGCAAGCAGAAATTAATAGAGTATCAACCCGAAAAACGTATTAATGCCGAGGAAGCATTGAAACATCCATATTTTGAAGAAATTCACAAAAAGGAATTGTCACAACAATCCTCTATCTAAAGTTCTTACAACTTGAACCCTACCACTAGATTTAATTTTCTCATTATTTCTCATTCAAGTTGTACTTTAATCTCTCGTTTCATGCCCTGCCCTCCATCCTTCCTTCAAACTATATCATATTTGTATATTAAGACTATGTTGTTACTAACTCCAGTTTTCAACACATAGTTTCATCCTGTTAAAGTTAATATATTATATATAAAAGATTAACGCATTGATATATTAATCAAGATCAAAATTCTTGATTATTATTATTTTTTTCAAAAAAATCAGATATCCTAAAAGGAAAGACAAATTTAGAACACATTAAATGATCAGCTTCTACAATTGGACATGTGTTTTTATGCAAATTCAAAAATAAAGTTTAATTTCTGCAGATGTCTATATGTACCACGATATTAATGGAATGTGTTAAATTCCACGAGATCGGAGATCCGAGTCGATTATCCATATTGATTGATTGATTGATGTTGATGTCTTTGTAGTACAAATTTGAGACATCTTTTAATAATAAAAATGCGAAATATGCGCATTTTTTTCATCTAAAAAAAAAAATGCCTACGAACTCAAAAACTACAGCCCAAGTGTCACCTTCGGCCATTCTAGTCTCTAAAACAGATGGAAATTTTAGAAGTAAAAACGATAAATATCCATTTTGGTTCGGAGGCAAGTAATCGTTCAAAGATCATATTTGATTATGTTTTTTTGTCACGTAATTACGTGGATAACCAAAATCTATCACTCAAAAGATCTTTCTATTTCAAATGTTTTGAAACTTCATCTATTGTTTCTACAGGTGCCGCATCATGTTTTTCGTGTTTAGTTACTCACCCTTTGGATACAACTAAAGTTCGCATGCAAACCACCATTAGTACCAACGAGCTAGGATCTTTAGGAACTGCGATCATGATAATAAGAAAAGAAGGAATCCTTGGTATATACAATGGCATTTCTGCCAGTATACTAAGGCAGGCCACATATTCCACAATGAGATTTGGAATTTATGATAAACTGCGCACTCATCTAACTAAAAATGGAGGTAACTTATCATCAGGTTATATGGATTCGCAACTATTTTGGAATCAGTTCATCCACCAAATGGTAGCAGGATGTGACTATATGCTAGTTTTCGATTCTTAGACATCCAACTTACCGTGATCAAAAATGTGTCATCATATTTTATATAATCACATTTTCTAGAACCTCTTTCATTTGCGGCAAAGATTTTTTGTGCGTCAGCGGCAGGTTGTGTGGGTGGTGCATTTGGTAGCCCTGCAGATCTTGTTATGGTAAGAATGCAAAATGATGCCAAATTACCATCGGAATTAAGACGGAATTACAAGAATGCATTCGAGGGTCTCTTTAGAATTTATAGAGAGGAAGGAATGATGGGTCTTACAAGAGGGATAGGCCCAAACGTTAATCGGGCCATTTTGATGAACTCTGCGCAGTTGGCATCTTACGAACAGTTTAAACAATTGTTATTAGAAACCGAATATTTTCAGGATAATATAATCACTCATTTTACCTCCAGCTTGATGGCAGTAAGTACCAAGTTCTTTTTATTTGCATTCTTTAAAATATATTCTTATGTTTTTATTATTTTTCAGGGACTGGTGGCCACGACTATATGTTCGCCTGTTGACGTTATTAAGACGCGTGTCATGAATTCTGGATCCAAACAAAAGGTTTTTTTTTTTTTCTCTCTTTTAAAAATTTGATGGTCCTTATTATCCCCATTTACTGACTTCATAATTATTATCACATTCCAATTTATAGCAAAATATTATGACAATGCTTAAGACAATAATCGTCCGAGAAGGACCATTTGCATTATTCAAAGGATGGGTGCCGGCGTTTGTGAGATTAGGACCACATACAATAGTGACATTTTTGGCCTTGGAACAAATCAAGGGTTTTTATAATAAACGTATAGAGCTCAGAATGAAAGCTACCGTTTAAAATTGATTGATAGATTTAAATATTATTCGGTACACTAGATGGGGATGGGGGACATTGTTTTGACAGATTTTTAATTTATTGTAACATCATTAATTCAATCATTGCATTACTTCATGTAGAAAATTTTCTTATAAGCCGTCTTTGTTAATAGATTACAAAAATTTCACGCATCATGGTGTAATTAACTTTTTGACAGAGTAATTCACGCCATTATCTGTAAAACTATCAAACTGTCAATAAATTAAACAATGTTCTTGGTTGGGCGATGTGTTTCATTAGATCCAGTGTCACTCAGTGAAAAAATCTATAG